ACACTGGTACAGATAGGAACTGGAAACACAGGGAATCCAGGGCGGATGATCCCTTCAGGACCAGTGGTGTGAGTGGAAATACTGGGAGGGTAGAGGGAGGGTTGGTTGGAAAGGGGGAAACATTTACAAGGATCTACATGTGACCTCCTCCCTGTGGGACGGACAATAGAAAAGTGGGTGAAGGGAGATGTTGGACAGGGCAAGATGTGACAAAATAATAATTTATAAATTATCAAGGGTTCATGAGGCATGGGGGAGCGGGGAGGAAGGGGAAAATTGAGGACTTGATGCCAGGGGCTTAAGTGGAGAGCAAATGTTTTGAGAATGATGGGGGCAATGAATGTACAAATGTGCTTTACACAACTGATGTATGTATGGATTGTGATAAGAGTTGTATGAGCCCCTAAAAAAACGATTAAAAAAAACCCCAGTCTTTGTGGCCTAACAAACTGAAGGAGAGAATTCATGGCAACCATAGATATTGGAAAGTGAAGTGGTGGGGGAGGGAAGAGAATGTCGAAGAGGAACAGCTCCAAATTTTATACATAGCATCTATCCAAATTTCTGCATGACTCCTAAACTATGCATGCAAAACAAGGCAGATTCTAAGCAGTATACCAAAGGCTGAAAGAACAGTATTGAGACTCTTTGTAACCATTTTATTCACATATGCTTTGTGTTTGATGCAATTCAATTGGTTAAATATATTCAAAAGAGCTGTATAATCATCAATACAATACTTTTTTTTTATCACGTTCTTCATTCTTGTATCCATTGTCATTAGCTCCCCAATGCTTTCCCACTGCCAAATTCTCATTATAACCCTAAGGATCTAGTCACTGTCTTTATAGATTCTCCTAAGCTGAATTTCATATAAATAAATAAAATCATACCACCACCCCTCAAAATACCAACAAAAGAAAATCACTTAATGGTGGCACCAATCTAAGAACAATTAGTTCTTATGACATGACCCTGTGCAATTATTACCCCTATGAAGTGATCACCGAAGAGACGAGTGCTGTAGCAAAGTATGGTGAATAAAGAAGATGGTGCCTTGCTATCAGAAAAAACATCTGAGGTCTTAAAGGTTGTCTTAAAACAAGTAGCCATCTAAGTGAGACATAAGCTAAGTCCACACCGAAGAAGCACACCAGCATGTGTGATCTAAGAATTGTAGGATGGAATGGTGTGCTCCAAGAATTGTAGGAAGGGCTTAAAATCTAAACAACCAGTTTTCAGAAGGCTAAGGATGTCAGTGAAAGCCCAAAACCCATTTGTAGGATCTCCCACTCTGGATAAGCCTGTGATGAATTTCTCTGACTATAGACCTTGTTACAAGACAAGGGTGGATTACTATAATTGTAGCTAGGTCACGTTTTTCATTGTATATTTTGAACCAATGTATAATTCCTCATTTTAAATTTTTTCTGCTTTGTTTTCAATGGAGGTTTTTCTTTGTTTCATTGCGTCATTATTGTTGAGTCATTTATTTGTAATCTGTCTTAATTTGTGTGATTTTTCTATATATGAAAAATATAGAGACAACAACCAGCTCAATAAATATAAAGGGATATGGCAGGGGAGGTTAGCAGGGGGTGTAGAGCTAACAACAAGTACAAAGAAGAAGGAATGTCCTGGAATTCAGTGTGGTGATGAACTATTGAAATGTACAATATGTATGTAAATTGTACATCACTGATATTGTTAAAAATAACAATCTAGTAAAAAATGTAAAACAATTTAATACAAAATAACACCAGAACAATTAGTCAAAAGGAAAAAATGTCAAGACGTTAAATTTTAAGCAGATATCTGGATTAATCCAATTCCCAATGCACTGTGTCTGAGGACAAAACTATTCACATATCTGATCTGTGACCTGAAGGAGTTCACTGGAGGCTTAATTCCCATGGGAACTCTGCAAATCCACTTTGGGTTTTCACTGTCATCTATAGCCTTTTGAACACTGAGTGCTCAGAAATTACAATTCTGAGAAATTTACAATTCCTTCCTCCAGTCTTGAATTCTATTATTTACAACCCTTGGATCATACTGGCTGGTGTGCTTCTTCCCTGTGGACTTAACTGACATCTCATTTATAAGGCTCCTTGTTTTAAGAAAAGGACCCCAGCTGCTTATTTCTGATAGCTGGGCACCATCTGTTCCTTCACTATATTTGCTATAGCGCCCATATCTTCAATGGTCTTTTCATGAGGCCAGTATTGAGCAAGGACAAATCATTAGAATTATTTATTCTTAAATTAGGCCTTACAATGAAAATGTGAGCTCAAAATCCATTCATACATCTAAAGTTTATAGATCTCCTTGGTATACTGCAGAGGGAGCATAATCAATTACTTGAGAAATAATATAGGTAAACTGCAGGAAATACTTGGTATTGCTAATAATAATAATATCACTAATTTATCCAATGGTATAGATTTTAAATTACTACCAAGGAAAGGAAAACATAGGGAATATTAGACTAAAATACATACAAGATTCACTTATACAGAAAAATTAAGATTTGAGATGCCACTTCCTCTGACTGAGAAGACTCAGAGTGAGCGTCCACGAGGGTAGTGAATAACCAGTAAATAAAGAAAGGACTCAGGTGGAAGGTGGCAAGATAGCAATCGGATAGGCAGCTTATGCTGGAGATCAGTGAGTGGGGAGACTTGTGGGCCTAGTAGGGTTCTAAAGCTGTGAGTTAATTCCCACGACACAGCACTTCTTTGAACTAGGAGCTGACTTCTAGCCCATCTCCTGCACCCAGTGAGGAGTCCCAAGGATCCAGGTTTGCTGCAGGAACTGCTCTGACCCAAGACTCCCATGCTGCTGTGGACCCCACTGAGGCTAGCACCCACAGCCACCATGCCTTGGCCATAGAGCCACAAGCCCATCAGCCACCCAGTGGAGGCTTGTGCACCTGCGGTTTCATACCCCAAACAGCATGGGGCTCTCCCACTGCCATTGGTGGATCCCTCCTCCAAGACTAGCATTCTATTCTACCTTTTCCCCACTCTGCCCAGTCCTTTGTGATTTCAGTGGCTGGCTGGGCCCTTTTCCCTGCCCGCCTGCCTGTCCTCAGTGTCTCTAGCCAGGAACAGACCACCTCCACCACTACTGTATTCCCACCCCTGGAACTATGCACTTCCGAACCCGGGCCATCACTTCCCTTCAAACAATGGCCTACACAGCTGCAAATGGGCCTCTAAAGAAGCCAGAAAGTTACTATAGCACAACACAGGTTGACCTCAGAGCCTGAAGACGGAGAGGGACATCCAACCTGCCTTCCAAACAATAGATTCACAATAGGCTAGGGTGAGAGGGAAACTCCAGTGGGACAAAGGTTAAGCAAAAGCCCCAGAGAAGTTGGCTACAGCAGCCCTCAGAAACATTCATACCAACCTCCCAAAGAGAGAGCCCAGGTCTCTTTGACTCCTGGGAAAATGACACTGAGTTCATCCAAAATGACACATAAACAGCAATTTGACTCAACAGCGTCAAGAAGAAAACTAGAGAAACAAAATCCAATGTCAGAGAATGACCTGAACATAACGGCAGTCATAGAAGAGGCAGATGTTGACCTGCCACAGAAAGAAATCTTCATAATGCTACTTAGAGTCATACATGATAAGAGGGAAGCAATAAAGAAAAAGGATGAAATAATAGAGGAGATAAAGACCACGCGCCAAAGG